TGTACACATCATCATCATCATCATCATCATCATCATCATCATCATCTGTCATGTCGCACTGATCATCTGCCCCAGATATTTAATTTTTGTTGTAACAGACAACACAACATTTGACAGGCAAAAGTCAGGAAATCTCATGTGTTTATCTTCTTTGGTCCTACAGGTCATGACCAGACTCTTGGTTGTTTTATACTTTAGATCGTGCTCCACACCGTGAGCTGAACACATGTTAAGTAGCTGCTGGAGACCAGAGGTGCTCGGACTGAAAATAACCAAATCATCTGCGTACATTAAATGATTCACAACAAGATTTCCAGCCACACAACCTGTTTTAGATGTTCTAAGCTTTGTTGACAATTCATCTAGATACAAATTAAATAAAACTTTATACAGACTAGATCTTCATAAATCCTCTCAGCTGTCGTCGTTCTTATGGTCAGATTGTGTTTAAATAAAGAGTAAAGTTTCAGACAGAGCAGTGCGTTCAGTTAGCGTCACACCTGAAGTGACTGTTGTTGATCTGTGTTTGTGTTTGTGGTGTCAGAGCTGCACATGGACCTGACCAACTACTACGAGCTCAAGCACCAGCCTCACAACCTGCGCGCTCTGGGGGCGGGGCTAGAGCTGGGGGCGGGGTTCGGAGGGGCGGGGCTAGAGCTGGCCCTGCCCCGCCCCCTCCGCCTGCCCCGCCCTGTCGTCGCGGAAACCCCCCGACGACGACCTCATCCTGCCGCATCACTTCCTGGACGGAGCCCCGCCCAAAATCGCTCTGATGGGCGGAGCCGACGGCAGAGCGAGCGAGCGCCTGGACGAGCTCTACAAGGAGAGGTCAGAGGTCATGGGGGTCACGGGGGGGTCACGCTGAGGGTCAGGCTGAAGGAGGAGCTAAACACCAGAGTGAAGTGATTGGACGAGAGAGAACGTAGATTTGGGAGACGACGAAACAGAAAAAAGCAGATGTGGGGCTTAAAAGTCTTAAATTCTGTTGTCCAAGTCTTATTTTTTTCACAAAGTTCTTAAATTTCATTTGCCTATTTTTTGTTTACTCAACCGAGCTGCAGTGTGATGTTAAACAGAGGGAGGAAAAAAACAACGCGTGAAATAACGTAACATGAATGAACGTCTCATTTGGAATATGAGCAAACAAGACTTAGTTTGTCTTGTTACAATATTGTAAATAATTTTTTGGCCATTTTACAAACAACGCACACAACTATAAATGAATGCGAATGAGATTTTATAATGAAAGTATTTTTTGTTATTTAAAGCCGTGAGTAATGGTCATTATTAGAATTGGATAATGGGTGTGATGTTGGTCTTCATTTTCATTTAAGCGCTCTTAAAAAGGTCTTAAAAAGGTCTTAAAAAGGTCTTAAAAAGGTCTTTAAAAAGTGTTAAATTTGGGGCAGTCAAACCTGAGGCTGTTTCTTTTCCTTGTGGACACACAGTCCTGACAAATATCCTAAATCCAGTGCATCATTTATCCAACACGAGCAGAGCGACCAGACGTCCCTGTTCACCCGGGACAGTCCAAAGGTGCGTTCAGACGGCAGCGTCAAAAAACACGCTGGACGCCTCGAGTTCGACGCCTTTGAATTTGAGTTCAGTTCGAGTCTTGGGACAAACGGGAAAAAAATACTTGATGCTTTGTCCAGGTCGTCCGTTTCCCTGGAAACAAGAGCCATTTCCTGGTCTTTTCCCGAACGATGGACCAGACTGAGACAGATTTTAGTGTTTTTATGACATAAAACCATCAGAGGAGGAGATCAGCTCAGCAGCTGCGGCGTGTTTATATTTTTACTCCACTAATGACACTGGTTTAGACCCTGGCTGACGCGGCGCGTTAACCAGCCAGACAAACGTGTCAGAATCTGGCGTCAGCACCTTGGACGCACGAGTCGTTCTTGTGTCCTTAAGTGTCTCAGATGTTCTTCTTGTGTTGCGTTCAGGGACCTGCTCCTGGGGCAGATGGATCAGGAGGAGAGGGAGCGCTGCTGGTTTTTCTCTCAACTCGAGGCTCTGACCCAGAGACTGGCCCAACTGCCCCGGATCGACACCGTGAGTCACACAAACACGTTTATCTGTTTATCTGATTATTTATTTGTTTATTTATTTGTTTATTTATTTGTTTATTTGTTTTGTTTCCAGTTCTCGCTGCAGATGGATCAGATCCGGCACCAGTTGGAGTTCGAGGTGCAGCAGGTTCGTTCTGTGATGGAAGAACGATTCGGGACCCAAGACCAGATGGTCCAACGCACCCAGGTCAGAACCAATACTAGAACCAGACCAGGACTAGAACGAGCCCTGGGCTATAACCCGACTGGTTCTAATCTAGTCCAAAACCAGACACACAACTTCTTAGACCAGGTTTAGACCTGGACTGGTGATTCATGGTCACAGTTTTGACTCTGTGTTTGTTTTTCAGCTGCGAGTGTCTCGTCTGGAGCAGCTGGAGAGAGAACTGCAGGAGGCCCGAGGAGCTCAGGAGACACAACTACAGGTCAGAGACAAACCCTAAGTCTACGTTCAGACCCCAGGACTTAAAGGTTGTATAGAGGATTTTTTAAGGGAAGCGAAATACAGCGACAGTCCTTTTTCAAATGTTGTGCATGTGTGACTCCACCTTCCTCAGTAGAAACATCTCCTCCCGCCTCTTTATTCTAGAAATCACATTTGTTTACATCCAGTGCATGTTCAGAATCACTGTTGAAGTGACCTGCCTAGAGATAATTTAGCGACCGACGCGTCAGTTTTTAGACCCTTCGGACTTTCTTTTGCAGCGAACTGGTCGTGGATTCTCGTCCGCCATCGCAACAAACTTTGTGCGAATTGCGAGGAAGCTACAGTTTGAAAAAGCCTCAAAGAACCGCTGCATAAACCACGTGATCCCCGAGCACCGATGAGTCAGTTACACTAAAAATGTAGGGAGTTTGACTGACAACCCAACAGCCAATAGAAAAAGAGGGAGCCTCGTTGTCTATTGGCTGATGTTTATCTGGCCTCACTACGTCCACAACTGATAGATTTTCATTCTTTCTTTTTTTTCGGTCATCATAATTAAAAGGCCGCTGTGTCTCTGTAATGGTATTTTAAACTTTCAATGACAATTTGAAACAAAAAAAAAATCCTCCATACAACCTTTAAAGCTCAATTTGAATATTTTTTGTGAAATTAGATTTTTTTTGCGAGGTCATTCACATTTCCAGTTAAATGTGACTGTGTGTGAACTTTCAATGTCCCAAAAGTGTGCTCAGTGTTTACAGAAGTCGCCTAAACTCTGGGCTTGTCTCCCAAAATCTGGTCCAGTTGTTGATAAAATGTCACACAGCCGCTTTGTTTGTTTCGTTTCTGCTGCTTTAAAGAGCGACACGTGTCTCCTCCGCTTCAGTGTCAGACCTTCTTCTTTCCTCTCGTCTTCATCGGGCGGCGTTAGTTTTAAAACCGTCGCGTGCAGACAGACTCACTGCAGGAGCCTCTCCCAGCCCAGCTCCACCTGACTGAGCGTCACTGAGCCTCCCCACGACCAGAGCCAGAAGCCCGGGTACAGCGGCTCGGTGAAGGACGCGCTGAACGTGTGGAGGTGCTGCATGGACCCAGGAGACACACAGAAGAAGGACAGAGACCCGGCCTCGAAGTCCAAGAACAGGCCCACGGTCTGAGAGAAGGGCTCAGGGCTCACGGACTTAAACCTGCGCAGAAGAAACACGAGGATCAAACCAGGAAGATTTAAACCGGCTAAATTTAATCTGCAGTAACGAGTCTGAGTCCAGGTCTGAGTCCAGGTCTAAGTCTGAGTCTGAGTCCAGGTCTGAGTCTCTGGTCTAAGTCGGAGTCTGAGTCCAGGTCTAAGTCTGAGTCTGAGTCCTGGTCTGAGTCTCTGGTCTAAGTCTGAGTCTGAGTCTTGGTCTGAGTCTCTGGTCTAAGTCGGAGTCTGAGTCCAGGTCTAAGTCTGAGTCTGAGTCCTGGTCTGAGTCTCTGGTCTAAGTCTGAGTCTGAGTCTTGGTCTGAGTCTCTGGTCTAAGTCTGAGTCTGAGTCTTGGTCTGAGTCCAGGTCTAAGTCTGAATCTGAGTCCTGGTCTGAGTCTCTGGTCTAAGTCTGAGTCTGAGTCCAGGTCTGAGTCCAGGTCTAAGTCTGAGTCTGAGTCCAGGTCTGAGTCTCTGGTCTAAGTCTGATTCTGAGTCCAGGTCTGAGTCTCTGGTCTAAGTCTGAGTCTGAGTCCAGGTCTGAGTCCAGGTCTAAGTCTGAGTCTGAGTCCAGGTCTGAGTCCAGGTCTAAGTCTGAGTCTGAGTCCAGGTCTGAGTCCAGGTCTAAGTCTGAGTCTGAGTCTTGGTCTGAGTCTCTGGTCTAAGTCTGAGTCCAGGTCTGAGTCCAGGTCTAAGTCTGAGTCTGAATCTTGGTCTGAGTCTCTGGTCTAAGTCTGAGTCCAGGTCTGAGTCCAGGTCTAAGTCTGAGTCTGAGTCCTGGTCTGAGTCTCTGGTCTAAGTCTGAGTCCAGGTCTGAGTCCAGGTCTAAGTCTGAGTCTGAGTCCTGGTCTGAGTCTCTGGTCTAAGTCTGAGTCCAGGTCTAAGTCTGAGTCTGAGTCCAGGTCTGAGTCCAGGTCTAAGTCTGAGTCTGAGTCTGAGTCTGAGTCTGAGTCTGAGTCTGAGTCTGAGTCAGGTCTAAGTCTGAGTCTGAGTCTGGTCTTCTGAGTCTCTGGTCTAAGTCTGAGTCTGAGTCCTGGTCTGAGTCTCTGGTCTAAGTCTGAGTCTGAGTCTTGGTCTGAGTCTCTGGTCTAAGTCTGAGTCCAGGTCTAAGTCTGAGTCTGAGTCCAGGTCTGAGTCCAGGTCTAAGTCTGAGTCTGAGTCCTGGTCTGAGTCTCTGGTCTAAGTCTGAGTCCAGGTCTAAGTCTGAGTCTTGGTCCTGGTCTGAGTCTCTGGTCTAAGTCTGAGTCTGAGTCCTGGTCTGAGTCTCTGGTCTAAGTCTGAGTCTGAGTCTTGGTCTGAGTCTCTGGTCTAAGTCTGAGTCTGAGTCTGAGTCTGAGTCTGGTCTAAGTCTGAGTCTGAGTCCTGGTCTGAGTCTCTGTTCTAAGTCTGAGTCTGAGTCCAGGTCTGAGTCCAGGTCTAAGTCTGAGTCTGAGTCCAGGTCTGAGTCTCTGGTCTAAGTCTGAGTCTGAGTCTTGGTCTGAGTCTCTGGTCTAAGTCTGAGTCTGAGTCTTGGTCTGAGTCTCTGGTCTAAGTCTGAGTCTGAGTCCAGGTCTGAGTCCAGGTCTGAGTCCAGGTCTAAGTCTGAGTCTGAGTCTTGGTCTGAGTCTCTGGTCTAAGTCTGAGTCTGAGTCCAGGTCTGAGTCCAGGTCTAAGTCTGAGTCTGAGTCTTGGTCTGAGTCTGTGGGCGGGACTCACCTGCGCCCCCGGTGGCAGGGCGTGTAACTGCCGCTGCTGCACTCCAGACTCCAGGAGGCGGAGTTCTGCCCCAGGAGCCCCTCAGGCACCGCCCCCCCCCGAGACAGACTGTTATAGGCCACGCCCACGTCCACGCCCCCCGCCCACTGCACCTCCCAGTACACGGTGTCCAGGAGCCCCTCCCTGCAACGACAAAACACTCAGATGCCCTCCCAGAACGGAACATTAGAGCAATTTAAAGCCTCAGTGCGGGACATTAAAGCCTCAGTGCAGGACATTAGAGCGAGACATTAAAGCCTCAATGCAGGACATTAAAGCCTCAGTGCGGGACATTAGAGCCTCAGTGTGGGACATTAAAGCCTCAGTGCAGGACATTAGAGCGAGACATTAAAGCCTCAGTGCGGGACATTGTAGCAGGTTAAAGTCTCAGTGTGGGACATTAGAGCAGGTTAAAGCCTCAGTGCGAGACATTAAAGCCTCAGTGCAGGACATTAAAGCCTCAGTGCGGGACATTAAAGCCTCAGTGCGGGACATTAGAGTAGGACATTAAAGCCTCAGTGTGGGACATTAAAGCCTCAGTGCAGGACATTAGAGCGGGACATTAAAGCCTCAGTGCAGGACATTGAAGCCACAATGCGGGACATTAAAGCCTCAGTGCAGGACATTAGAGCGAGACATTAAAGCCTCAGTGCGGGACATTGTAGCAGGTTAAAGTCTCAGTGTGGGACATTAGAGCAGGTTAAAGCCTCAGTGCGAGACATTAAAGCCTCAGTGCGGGACATTAACGCCTCAGTGTGGGACATTAAAGCCTCAGTGTGGGACGTTAAAGCCTCAGTGCGGGACATTAAAGCCTCAGTGCGGAACATTAGAGCAGATTAAAGCCTCAGTGCAGGGCATTAAAGCCTCAGTGCGGATCATTAGAGCCTCAGTGCGGGATATTAAAGCCTCAGTGCGGGACATTAGAGCAGGACATTAAAGCCTCAGTGCGGGACATTAGATCAGGACTTTAAAGACTCAGTGCGGGACATTAAAGCCTCAGTGCGGGACATTAAAGCCTCATTGCGGGACATTAAAGCCTCATTGCGGGACATTAAAGCCTCAGTGCGGGACATTAGAGCCTCAGTGCGGGACATTAAAGCCTCAGTGCAGGACATTAAAGCCTCAGTGCGGGACATTAAAGCCTCATTGCGGGACATTACCGGCAGAGCAGCTGGGGGCAGTGCTCGAACCTCTCCGGATGCTCCGGGGGGGCGTGGTCGCTCGGCTGATGATGCGTCGTGCGGCCGCAGCTCCACTCGCGTCGCGCCGTTCGGTTTCCGTCCGACAGAACCAGCTCCGAGTTCGCTGTGTTCGGGTCAAAGGTCAAGTACTGAGCGACTGCAGAAGAGAGAGAGAGGGAGAGGTGACCGATCAGATCTGTGGAGAGGCGACCCTGCGACCGTGCTCAAATTATCGACACGTATTTTTTTCTTTGGCCAGTTAATGCAGTTTATTACTTTTTTTTTTTCCAGTAGGTGACAGTCAAATTTGACTCCTCCCCCCTTCCCTCACCTGTCTCCTCCCCCTCACCTGTCCTCTCTCCTCTCACCTGTCTCCTCTCTCCTCTCACCTGTCTCCTCCTCTCTCACCTGTCTCCTCCTCTCTCCTCTCCTCTCACCTGTCTCCTCCTCTCTCACCTGTCTCCTCCTCTCTCACCTGTCTCCTCCCTCTCACCTGTCTCCTCTCCTCTCACCTGTCTCCTCCTCTCCTCACCTGTCTCCTCTCTCTCTCCTGTCTCCTCCTCTCTCCTCTCTCCTCCCTCTCTCTCCTCTCCTCTCACCTGTCTCCTCTCTCTCTCACCTGTCTCCTCCTGTCTCCTCCTCTCACCTGTCTGTGTCCTCCTCTCTCACCTGTCTCCTCCTCCTCACCTGTGTCCTCCTCTCTACCTGTCTCACCTGTCTCCTCCTCCTCTCTCCTCTCCTGTCTCACCTGTCTCCTCCTCCCTGTCTCCTCCTCTCACCTGTCTCCTCCTCTCTGTCTCCTCTCTCACCTGTCTCCTCCTCTCTCCCTCTCACCTGTCTCCGTCTCCTCTCCTCCCTCTCCTCTCTCACCTGTCTCCTCCTCTCTCCTGTCTCCTCCTCT